CTCCCCCATCAGCTGCAAGTACTCAGACCAGCTGCCCAGCAGGTAGCCGACTGCAGTGTGACCCATTCGGCTGTGTGCGATTGTGATGTTGTGGACGTGTCGTGTGGTTGTGTCAGGTGGGGCAGGCAAGATGATGGATGGGAGATGCCACCAACCTTTCATCTGTCATTCTGACGAGACCAAGGAATGTTAATTGACTTTAATAGCCAGCAAATGACATCAACAATGTTTACTAATACGCAAATCAGTTAGCGAGATGGATTGGCAGGAGTGGGGCTGCCGGGTTCTTCAAGCAGCAATGCAGGCAGCAAGACAGGCAATGTGGAGAGCAGCATTCGTCCAAGGATTCCTGCTGCGAAATGCAGACACCTCTGGGGTGAACAGGAGCAGCCTTCCCACAGCACTGCTTCCCTTCTTGACACTTTAGGTTGCATGTTGCCTCTGGGCAGGGGTTGGATTAAACCAGCAGACTGTCCCCCATCTCCCGCAGAAGGGGCTGAGAACCCCAGTGGGGCAGGGTTCGCGCCCTGGGAGAAGAGGCAGAGGGGTCAGCCTCCAAACCTGTGGATCTCCTAAGATTCATACGGATCTTGGCAGACAAGTGCCTAGCGGCCCTGTGTACTCGGCTTGAAGCCTCCCCTATTCTGGAGCTTCCTGTGTGCACACTGCTCAGCTGAGAGGGGAAACTTGCCTGGTCTGTTTCACATTTGTCCATGGTCAGTTTCACCTCTGGCGCCCCTTCCACTTAGTGTAGCGGGTTGAAAAAATCTTCCTGCCCAAAAATGGGGTTTAACTGGAGTTTCCTTGAAGGAAAATGTCAGTTTTGGTGACATTTTTCATTTTGTTTTTCAAAAGCCCACAATGTTGGGATGGGGGGGGGGACACTACTGTCTGTGGTTGGACACAGTCTAGCGCTAGCACAAAGTTGTTGCACTGGGGCTTTCAGCACTTCAAGGGACCTTCTAGAACTGAGAAACAGAGACTGGCCTGACCCAGCCCCCAGCATGCCAAGCCTTGGGCACACGCACCACAGCAGTCAGCAGGGCCAAACCCTGGTCTTTCAGCCCCTTGGGCTAAAGCACAAACCCAGCTGGCTGTGAGCCACCTGGTCTAGCCTCTATGACCAGCCACTAACAAGTGCCCTGGTCCCGGCAGTACACAACACTCCCAAGCTTGCCGGCTGTTGAGATCTGTTCATAGTATAGTTTATAAATTCCGTATTCTGGACCGGTGGGGTCCTTGGAAACTAGGCAGGCATGCACTGTGGGGAGCTCCCCTGCCTGGAGAGCAGGCAATGGAGTAGATCACCTAAGTCTGTTCCTGCTTTGCCGTCTCCGTGGGAGCATGGTCTCTTTCTGGCTGGCTAGGTGGACAGCACCACCAGGCCCGGCTCACTTCACAGGGGCTGCCCTGGGTGTGTTTAACAAACAGCTTGGGAGACCTGGACTGAATTCCCTGTGTGAGACAGGGATGGCTGTTCTGCTTGGGCGAAGTGCTGGGAAAGCTGGAATTGGATCTGGAGCTGAATCTCCCCCCTAGTCTGTGGGGTTCGCTCCCTTAGTCTGGGCACATCCCTGTAGCTGTCGCGGAGCCACGGAGAGCAGCTGCGAGGTCAAAAGTTATTTGTAGGCAGATGCTGAGCTGTGTGCTGCCATGCCCTGGGAACCCGGGCTGTGCTGTGTCCCCCAGGTCATTACAGTTGTAATTGGCTTTACCAGCCATTGAACCACAAGTAAATAGGAACAAATGCCTGAGACACTCCCCCCCTCCACCCCCGGGGGTCACTGAGTGCAGAACACAAGGCAGGCCGTGCAGGCAAGGGCAGGTATCTCTGTCTCCCTTTTGTAGTGTTCCCCCAGTTCATACTGCCGGGCCAGGCCCCTGCTGCCTCTAATTGGCAGGGTCACAGTCACAGCCTCAGCACAGAGCTTTTAACAGGCTTCCCCTTCACCCTCCTCCTTATTAGCCCTAACGCTCACCAGCTACCAGCACCCGCCTCATGGGCACAATCCAGGCCACGGACTTTTTCCCCACAGCTCTGTGCTGACGTGGGGAATCGTGAGATGGCTGGAGCCTACCCCCAGCAGCAAGGCCAGAGGGGCAGGAAACTCCCTGTTGGGAGCTCCCCTCCAGCTGCTTGGGGCCTATGGCCAAGACAGCCTGCCCTGGCACCAGCAGCCTGGCCTCGGTTCCTTTTGGGATGGGTGGTGGGGTCACCTCCTGTGTGCATGCTTTACCAGCAGCCTATCCAGGGTGAGGGTGCAGGGGCCTGCCTGTGATGGAAAGCCCCTGAGAGCAGCCAGGCTAGGGGATGGTCAGTGCTAGATGGTCCAGGCTGGGCTGCTGATGCAGTTCCACCTGCTGCCACGTGGGGCAGCGGGGCACCAGGCTCAGGGGGACCCTGTGCTCCCTGGCCAGAGAGGGCGCTAGTGTGCGACACCAAGGCTCCGTCCCTCAGAGCAGCATCACTCAGGGAATCCTAGGGAGGGGAGCAAAGCTGCCCAGAGGAGGGGCCTGCAGCATCACCCAGGGAGTCCTACTGATGGGAGCAGAACTGCTTCTTAGCGACCCCGCTGGCCAGGCTGCCCGAGTGCCCCAGCCACAC